GGGCAGATGGGTTAGGGTTAGGGACAGGGCAGATGGGTTAGGGTTAGGGACAGGGCAGATGGGTTAGGGTTAGGGTCAGGGCAGATGGGTTAGGGTCAGGGACAGGGCAGATGGGTTAGGGTCAGGGACAGGGGCAGATGGGTTAGGGTCAGGGCAGATGGGTTAGGGTTAGGGACAGGGCAGATGGGTTAGGGACAGGGCAGATGGGTTAGGGTCAGGGCAGATGGGTTAGGGACAGGGCAGATGGGTTAGGGTCAGGGCAGATGGGTTAGGGACAGGGCAGATGGGTTAGGGTTAGGGTCAGGGCAGATGGGTTAGGGTTAGGGACAGGGCAGATGGGTTAGGGTTAGGGACAGGGCAGATGGGTTAGGGTTAGGGACAGGGCAGATGGGTTAGGGTTAGGGACAGGGCAGATGGGTTAGGGTTAGGGACAGGGCAGATGGGTTAGGGTTAGGGACAGGGCAGATGGGTTAGGGACAGGGCAGATGGGTTAGGGACAGGGCAGATGGGTTAGGGACAGGGCAGATGGGTTAGGGACAGGGCAGATGGGTTAGGGACAGGGCAGATGGGTTAGGGACAGGGCAGATGGGTTAGGGACAGGGCAGATGGGTTAGGGTTAGGGACAGGGCAGATGGGTTAGGGACAGGGCAGATGGGTTAGGGTTAGGGACAGGGCAGATGGGTTAGGGTTAGGGACAGGGCAGATGGGTTAGGGTTAGGGACAGGGCAGATGGGGTGGATTGAGACGAACAGCAAAAAGACACCAGATATAACTTAAACTGACAGATTTTTTTGGGATTTTTGTATTATGTTAATTATTTTCAGCGGGGGGACGTGGACTCTTAGTTACCTTCTAAACTGGGGTCGTTTCATGTTTGCTACATGCAAACAGATGGCAATGCTGTAAAACACAGCAAAACGCTGAAGGTATAAAATACATCCCCGCACTTCATATCTGTTACGGGAAATCTGTTGCCTTTATAAATGAGCGAGAGAGAGAGAGAGAGAGAGAGAGAGAGAGAGAGAGAGAATACTAGGTTTGTGTTCAGTTGGTATGAAACCAAGGAGATCCAGCCCAGAGAGATATAGGCAGGGATTCCATCTGATCGCGGGTTGTCAACGATGCTGCTCAATTGGGAAATTACCTTTTTAAATGTTAAGGGGGCTATAGCACGGTTTGGGAAATTACCTTTTTAAATGTTAAGGGGGCTACAGCACGGTTTGGGAAATTACCTTTTAAATGTTAAGGGGGCTACAGCACGGTTTGGGAAATTACCTTTTAAATGTTAAGGGGGCTATAGCACGGTTTGGGAAATTACCTTTTAAATGTTAAGCGGGGCTACAGCACGGTTTGGGATTTAATCCCGGGAAATTACCTTTTAAATGTTAAGGGGGCTACAGCACGGTTTGGGAAATTACCTTTTTAAATGTTAAGGGGGCTACAGCACGGTTTGGGAAATTACCTTTTTAAATGTTAAGGGGGCTACAGCACGGTTTGGGAAATTACCTTTTAAATGTTAAGGGGGCTATAGCACGGTTTGGGAAATTACCTTTTAAATGTTAAGCGGGGCTATAGCACGGTTTGGGAAATTACCTTTTAAATGTTAAGCGGGGCTATAGCACGGTTTGGGAAATTACCTTTTAAATGTTAAGGGGGGCTATAGCACGGTTTGGGAAATTACCTTTTAAATGTTAAGGGGGCTACAGCACGGTTTGGGAAATTACCTTTTAAATGTTAAGGGGGCTACAGCACGGTTTGGGAAATTACCTTTTAAATGTTAAGCGGGGCTATAGCACGGTTTGGGAAATTACCTTTTAAATGTTAAGCGGGGCTATAGCACGGTTTGGGAAATTACCTTTTAAATGTTAAGCGGGGCTATAGCACGGTTTGGGAAATTACCTTTTAAATGTTAAGGGGGGCTATAGCACGGTTTGGGAAATTACCTTTTAAATGTTAAGCGGGGCTATAGCACGGTTTGGGAAATTACCTTTTAAATGTTAAGGGGGGCTATAGCACGGTTTGGGAAATTACCTTTTAAATGTTAAGGGGGCTACAGCACGGTTTGGGATTTAATCCCGGGAAATTACCTTTTAAATGTTAAGGGGGGCTATAGCACGGTTTGGGATTTAATCCCAGTCACAGTCTCTGTTCCAACATCCAGACTAGCTGAGAATGAAGCAGTCTATTGGGGCATGTAGTATAGTGTGGGTAGTAAAAGGCTCTGCAGTCGAGCTCAGAGAGACAGATCTCTAGTAGAAAGGCACTGCAGTCGAGCTCAGAGATCTTAAGACCTGGTAGCGGAAAGGCACAATAGTCGAACTCGGAGAGACCGATCTCTAGTAGAAAGGCACTGCAGTCGAGCTCAGAGATCTTAAGACCTGGTAGCGGAAAGGCACAATAGTCGAACTCAGAGAGACCGATCTCTAGTAGAAAGGCACTGCAGTCGAGCTCAGAGATCTTAAGACCTGGTAGCGGAAAGGCACAATAGTCGAACTCGGAGAGACAGATCTCTAGTAGAAAGGCACTGCAGTCGAGCTCAGAGATCTTAAGACCTGGTAGCGGAAAGGCACAATGGTCGAACTCAGAGAGACAGATCTCTAGTAGAAAGGCACTACAGTCGAGCTCCGAGATGAGGCTTACAGTGGTTTTGAAGCCCAGCTGAGTGTGACGCTGCTAGCTTAGCATAACGCTGCTAGCTTAGCATAACGCTAACAGTGTGTTTCGGTAAGCTTTAGCATGTGCCAGTAGAGCGTTTCAGTTAGCTTAGCATAACGCGGACATAACTTTTGTTAGCTTAGCGAATGCTAGTAATGTGTTTTAAGGTTAGCTTAGCGTACGTAGCGTATGCAAACGCTGGAGAGCGTCGAGTCTAGCTCGTTTCAGCCTAGGGGAGGAGTCAAAAATAATAAAACGCCTCCGTCCATATTTGTTCACCTTATAAGAATCAAGCAATTTACAAACAATTTAGAATAAAGAAAAGAACAACAACATTATCAAATAAAAACGGTTCAGTCTTAGTCTGCTGGAGGAGACAGTGAAGTGACGGTCATGTTCCAGAACACAAGTACAACAAACAAACACATCTAAAAATGCCCATAAAACTACACGTTTTAAATGATACCCAGTATTACAGTATCTGAAAGCTAATATATAGATACCCCCCAACAACACCCAACAACAAGCAAACTCATCTATGAAGCTAACAGCAAACAGCACGGATGGATTCATGAAAACAACTTAAAATACAAACTCTTTTAATAAATTCAAAAAACAAAACGTCTTCAGTAGTTTCTGTCGTATTTTTTTTTTTTTTGTAATTTCATTTTGTATTTTGTTATATTTTTGTTTAAGCGTTTTACTAAAGTAAAAAAAAAAAAGAAAAAAAGTAAAATCTCTTTATTTTCTACTTCAGAGAACAAACAACAGAAACATTAAATATTCGGTTTCACCACTTCCATAAATACTGAAGTGGACCTTCAATGTTCTTGTTGCCCGGGCAACAGGGAGGAGAGGACGGGGTCAGGTGACAGGTCAGGTGACAGGGTGATGAAGTGATGTCAGAGGGGGTGGGGTGTTGAGGGTATAGCTAAAGGTCTGGTCTTGGCTTGGACTGGTCTTCTCCTTTCAGTGGGTCTTATACGTTCTCCTACACATTCTGCTACACAGTCAGTGGTTCTGATGGGGGGTGGATGTGATCAAATGTAACCCTACTGCTGCTCTCAGTCTATATCTATAGTGAGACACTGTATCTACAGTATATACTGTATGTATTCAGATCCTCCTGGAGGTCCGGACTACTGCTGCTTTTGTTGTTCTACCTGATCATTAAATGGTACCCACCTGGTGTCCCAGGTCTAAACATGGGGGGCCTGATCATTAATGGTACCCACCTGGTGTCCCAGGTCTAAACAGGGGGCCTGATCATTAATGGTACCCACCTGGTGTCCCAGGTCTAAACAGGGCCTGATCATTAATGGTACCCACCTGGTGTCCCAGGTCTAAACAGGGCCTGATCATTAATGGTACCCACCTGGTGTCCCAGGTCTAAACATGGGGGGCCTGATCATTAATGGTACCCACCTGGTGTCCCAGGTCTAAACAGGGCCTGATCATTAATGGTACCCACCTGGTGTCCCAGGTCTAAACAGGGGGGGCCTGATCATTAATGGTACCCACCTGGTGTCCCAGGTCTAAACAGGGCCTGATCATTAATGGTACCCACCTGGTGTCCCAGGTCTAAACAGGGGGCCTGATCATTAATGGTACCCACCTGGTGTCCCAGGTCTAAACAGGGCCTGATCATTAATGGTACCCACCTGGTGTCCCAGGTCTAAACAGGGCCTGATCATTAATGGTACCCACCTGGTGTCCCAGGTCTAAACAGGGGGCCTGATCATTAATGGTACCCACCTGGTGTCCCAGGTCTAAACAGGGGGGCCTGATCATTAATGGTACCCACCTGGTGTCCCAGGTCTAAACAGGGCCTGATCATTAATGGTACCCACCTGGTGTCCCAGGTCTAAACAGGGGGGCCCTGATCATTAATGGTACCCACCTGGTGTCCCAGGTCTAAACAGGGGGCCTGATCATTAATGGTACCCACCTGGTGTCCCAGGTCTAAACAGGGCCTGATCATTAATGGTACCCACCTGGTGTCCCAGGTCTAAACAGGGGGGGCCTGATCATTAATGGTACCCACCTGGTGTCCCAGGTCTAAACATGGGGGGCCTGATCATTAATGGTACCCACCTGGTGTCCCAGGTCTAAACATGGGGGGCCTGATCATTAATGGTACCCACCTGGTGTCCCAGGTCTAAACAGGGGGGCCTGATCATTAATGGTCCCCACCTGGTGTCCCAGGTCTAAATCAGTCCCTGATTAGAGGGGAACAATGACTGGTGTCCCAGGTCTAAATCAGTCCCTGATTAGAGGGGAAGAATGAACAAAAAGCAGAGGAACTGGCTTCCAGGTCCAGATGTTAATTTGAAGGGATATAGAGTATGTTGGGAAAGTCTGGTCCAGTATTCATTAGGACCAATATATACCTGGGGAAGAAGCCAGTAGGTCTTGCATAGACGTTGTTTAAACGTTGAAGGTTTGGCACACGTCATAACGTAGCCTAGACGTTGGGCTATGTTGAACCGACGTTGAGTAGAGTTTGCGTAGGGGTCAATTAGTTTACCCCGACATTATGGACGTTGCATAGATGTTGCCGTTTAAACATTGAGTTGAATGGGGAGGGAGGTGAGAGGTGGAAATGAGGAGGGGCTCTTCTGTAGATCGTCTGTAGTTCTGCTTGACATCACCATGCAGAAGTGGTTTGAACGTTGAGTGGTGGTTGAACAGGCGTTGTGGACCAGACATCTGGTTGTCAGTAGGTCTGATAGACGTCGTGGATGGGCACCTGGAAGGCGGCGGCGGGGAAGGCCTGGGGCATGGTGTAGGCATAGCCTCCGTAGGCAGCCGCCGCCGCCACGGCTGCGTTCTTCTGCAGGGCTGCCAGGGCAGCAGTGTTGTAGTTTGTGATGGGCATGTAGCCTGCTCCGTACAGACCACTGGCCGTGGGGATACGCTGCATGTTGTGGGTCATGGTATACACTGGTGTGATGGGACGACCCTGAGGGAGGAGGGGGAGAGGGAGCAGAGAGGGGAGGGAGAGAGAGAGAGAGAGGGGGGATAGAGAGGAGGGGGGAGAGAGGGGGGAGGGGAGGGAGATTAGTGGATGCTGTATTCAACGTTTCATATGGACATGAAATTTCATGTTTGTCTGGTGTGTGGGTCTGTGTGGGTGTCTGGTTGTGTCCGGTGTGTGTCCTGTGTGTGTCGGGTGTGTGTGTGTGTGTGTTGTGTGGTTGGTGTGTGTTGTGTTGTGTGTTGTGTGTATGTGTGTGTGTGTCTTGTTTGTCGTGTTGTGGTGTTGTGTTCTGTGTGTGTGTGTGGTGTCGTGTGTCTGTGTGTGTGTGTCTGTGTGTGTCTGTTGTGGTGTGTCTGTGGTCTGTGTCTGTGTTGTGGTGTGTGTGTGTGTGTGTGTGTGTCTGTGTCTGTGTTGTGTCTGTGTCTGTGTCTGTGTGTGTGTGTGTGTGTGGTGTGTGTGTGTTGTGTTGTGGTGTGTGTGTCCTGGAGTGGTGGCGGTGTGTGAGTCGCAGTGTGATCTGTCTGTGGTTCTGTGCTGTGTGTGTGTTGTGTGTGTGTACCTGGTGGTGGTGGTGTGTGACCGGTAGACGCCTGTCGTCTGGCCTGTGTGTGTGTTGTGTGTGTGTCTGTGTGTGTGTGTGTGTGTGTGTGTCTGGGGGTGTGGTGTGGAGCGTGTGGTGTGGTTTGGCCTGTGTGTGTGTGTGTGTGTGTGTGTGTGTGTACCTGGAAGGGTGGTGGTGTGGAGACAGCAGGTAGAACAGCCTGTGCGTTCTGGCCTGTGTGTGGTGTGTGTGTGTGTGTGTGTGTCTGTGTGTGTGTGTGTGTGTGTGTGTGTACCTGGAAGGGTGGCGGTGTGGAGACAGCAGGTAGAACAGCCTGTGCGTTTCTGGCCTGTGTGTGTTGGTGTGTGTGTGTACCTGGAAGGGTGCGGTGTGAGACAGCAGGTAAACAGCCTGTGCGTTCTGGCCTGTGTGGTCGTGCTGCAGGGCCAAGGGGTTCATGAGGTGTTCCACAGCATGGTGCATCTTCCCTTCCTCCATCAGCTTGGCTCCCTGGGCTGAGGAGAACACTGGGTACTGGCCTGATAGAGCCTGCATGCCCACTGCACACACACACACACACACACACAGCACTCCATCAGCCACACATCGCACATCCACACACACACTACTACAGACACCAAGCACACACACACACACACACCACACACCACAGGACACACACAGACAGACACACAGACACACACAGACACACACACACACACACACACACACACACACAGACACAGGACACACACACACCACACACACACCACACACACACAAACACACACAGACACAGACACACACACACACACACACACCACCACACACAGACACACACACACACAGACACACAGACACACAGACACACACCACACACACACACACAGAGAGACACACACACACAACCCCAGAATGATAGTCAGATTGGGAAATGCCACTATGAGACATTGAGAGCAGAGGGACAGCGTCAACAGGACAGAGTATATTATATATATATATATATATATTTACAGTATGAAGAGAAAGAAACAGGGAAAGAGAGAGAGAGAATGGAGTTACACTAGTTAGTGTCAGCCTCTGTTGGTTGGGGTGTGATTCAGATTAAGATGGTGCTTAGTTCTGGATTAAACCCCCTTCACACACACACACACACACGCTAACACACACACACACACACACACACACGCTAACACACACACACGCTAACACACACGCCAACACAAGGTCACTCATTGTTTCAGATGGACAAAAGTCCATTGAGTTTCTCTGATCCAGTTATTCCAGAGACTGAGAAGGGGATTGGGGATTGAGCAATCACGTCCAGATTAGAATCAGATTATCGTTCCATACGGAGATGCACCTAACGGAACCCTAATCAACCAATGAGTGACGTTAATCAGAAGAGGTCAGGGGGTCAGAGATTGTGACTCTGAACCCCTGATCTGAAGGGTTGAGGAATTTACAGTAAAGAAAACATCATCACCATGATCATCATCATCACCATCATCATCATCATCATCGTCATGAGATGTTTTTTTTTTCCTCCTGATCTGAAGAAGGGATCAGATAGAGAGCAAACAGAAAGAGAGATGGATGGAAATAGAGAGAGAAAGACAGACAGCCTCTCTGAGAAGGATGGCTTGCAGCTCAACTCCAGTCCAGGAGGGGGCAGTAGTGTCTCTTAGTCGTAAAGCATTTACAGAGACATCTATTTCCCATCAATTCATCCTTGTTTTTCCCTATATCCCAGCTGCCTGCTGTCCTCTGGGAACTGGAGCTGAGTGGTGGAAAGACGGCAGTAGGGAGTCAGTGTAAAGGTCCGAGAACTCTATCTTCCACTGACTGACTGGAGCCAGGCCGGAGACAGGAAGCAGAAAACAGAAGAAAGCAGCCGGCGGTACAGGGGGACAGTTTAGGGGGACGACGGGGGGGGGGGGGGGACGGGGGGGCGGGGGGGGGCGTATCTGTGTGTGACTGACTTGTGCAAGGCTTGATGCCCAGAGGGTTGACTGAGGCATTCAGCTCCATGGAGGGGACCAGCTCGTAGGCCTTGTTGTCGGGGCCCTTGGCCTTTCCTTCATGGTACCGGCTGTAGATACCCCGCCCAGCAGAGTAACCCCCCAGGTACGACCCCCGGGGGCCAGGGGCACGGCTAGCTGCCGTCGCGCGGCCACGACCTCGCACAGCACCTGCTGGAGACAGGCCACAGGGGGGCGCTGTTTAGGGGGGGGGGGCGCTTCAATATATAGGGGCATGGGATATGTTCAGGACATGTTCTATAGGGGTTGTTTAGCACAGGGCCAATATATAGGGGCGTAGGATATATATATATATATAGCTGTTTAATTGGCTACTAAATGGACTACTTTAAAATGGAGATAGCCCTCAATGCCATCTCTATGGATGGGTGAAAAACAGGGCAGAACGAGGTCTTTACGCTGTTCTGAGGACATGTCTTGAAGGGTTTGACTACTGTCTTCACGGTTACTATTTCAGACTGAGTAGAGAAGCTGAGGGAGTTTATCAAGGCACTAACCCTTTCCAACCCTGGCAGGGCACCTCGTCATTCTTTAATAAAGTTACTTTGTATAGTATCTCTCTAGGGTACTAAACACAGGGGAGGACGGCTCATAATAATGTCCGGAACGGAGCGAATGGAATGGCTTATATTTGATAAGATTCCGCTCCAGCCATTACAACGAGCCCGTCCTCCCCAATTAAAGTGCCACGAACCTCCTGTGGTACTAAAGGTGTGTTATTGCTATCTGAGATCCTTGGGACGTCCCTACCCTAAACCCTTACCCTAACCTTAACCCTTACCCTAACCTTACCCCTCACCTAACCTTACCCCTCACCTAACCTTACCCCTCACCCACCTTACCCCTCACCTAACCTTAACCCTCACCTAACCTTAACCCTCACCTAACCTTAACCCTCACCTAACCTTAACCCTCACCTAACATTTTTTTACATTTTAGTCATTTAGCAGACGCTCTTATCCAGAGCGACTTACAGTTAGTGAATACATATCTTTTTATACTGGCCCCCCGTGGGAATCGAACCCACAACCCTGGCGTTACAAACGCCATGCTCTATCAACTGAGCTACATCCCTGCCGGCCATTCCCTCCCCTACCCTGGACGACTCTGGGCCAATTGTGCGCCGCCCCATGGGTCTCCCGGTCGTGGCCGGCTGCGACAGAGCCTGGATTCGAACCAGGATCTCTAGTGGCACAGTTAGCACTGCGATGCAGTGCCTTAGACCACTGCGCCACTCAGGAGTCAAACCTTAACCCTCACCTAACCTTAACCTTAACCCTCACCTAACCTTAACCCTTACTTTAACCATTTTAAACGTCAACTTCAATCGATCCAGTTTAGACTTTTGGGTGAATGTGTGAAGCCGTCGTTAGCAACATCATGGGGGTTGCTATGGGGCAGCATTTTACGCTGTTTGTCAGAAGGTGCAAAATATATACGTTGTTAATGTTTATCTAGTCATTAGTTTGTGTTTTGTTCCAACACTGGAAGGACATCTAGTATCTGGTAACTGGAGTCCTGAAGGAGTGTGGGACACATCGTGGGTCTGACAGTTTGTCTGTCTACCCAGCGAACTAAAAGGTGACGGAACAGTAGGAGAGGAAGTTGTTATAGAAACCAGAGAGAGTTAGTCACATGACCAAGGAGTTGATGTTTCATTGGATAGGGAGTGTTAAGGAGTAGCCAATAAGGATGGAATAGATTACCATTGGTCTGTATCATTGGGCCTCCTTTGGAGAGAAAAACCAGAACACAGTGATCACAGTCAACGTCTGGACGGATTAGGGGGGGTCGTCCCTAATAGCACCCTATTCCCTATGTAGTGCACTACTTTAGACCAGGGCCCTATAGGGTTAGGGCCCATAGTAGTGCCCTACAGAGGGAATAGGGTGCTATTTAGGGACACAGATTAGTTGAGCTGCCACCCAGACACCTTCCAGCATCACTCATCACAGTGGGATGGGGCTCAGCACTCAAACGGACACTCTGCAACATGGCGTCCACAGAGGTACTTCCTGCTTGCAGACGTCAAGGACAGCGGAATTCTAATCTGCCAATACTCCAGACAGCCACTAGGGGGCATCCTCTTGATGCAGGTATAGAGTCCCACAGTGGAGGTGTCATAATACCCATAAAACCTAGAGGTCAAACAGGGGAAATGGTTCCAATCGTTTTTCCCATAGGGGATTTTTAGAAACACTTAAAATAAGGGCTGTGTTTCGTGTAGGCTTACCCTGGCGTGACGTTTTGATAACCATGTAAATCTCTCACGGACAAGGTGACTTTTATCAATATATTCAGCTCTATTTACTCTCAGATTCTAAAATGCTAATTAGCATCAAAGTCAACATCATTAAAGACTACAAATCCCTGCCAGCTCCTGCACGTCATCTCTAGCTGACACCTTTGCTAACAGGTTAGGGCTAGGGTTAGCTTTAAGCTAACAGGTATTGTGTCAATTTAAAACTTGCACAAGACAGACAGTTCTCATTAATGTCCATGTAAAGAAATGCTAACAATTTATTAATTACTAAATTTAGCTAACATTAGATAGTTAATCCAGAGATTCTTACCTTTGCCTTGATTCGGCAGTCTCGTCCAGATCATCATGGCATTTGTAGTTCTTTATGATAGCCACATTAGCAGCTAATTAGCATTTCATTTTTGGTGGGTAAATACAGGCGAATACATTGATAAAAGTCACCTTGTCCTAGAGAGATTTACACGGTTATCAAAACGTCACGCCAGGGTAAGCCTACACGAAACACAACCCTTATTTTAAGTGTTTCTAAAATCCCCTATTGGAAAAATGAATGATGGGAAAATGATTGAAACCATTTCCTTGTTTGACACGCTAGGTTTTCATGGGTATTATGACTCATACTGTGGTACTCCTATATGCCTCAAAGGAGGAAAGAAACTAGGAAGACCCAACGGTGGCCATCTTGGAATATTGTTGTTCTTGTAGTCCCTAAGCAGGAAGTCACCCCGCTGTATCCTGTGATGTCATATTGCGGAGCGTCCCTTTACCACTCCAACAGTATACGTGCTGCTCTATTTAGAAGCCGGCAGGTTTTCAAAAAGTAGATCAGTGATTTAGAACCAGACCACTCTTCATGGGCGAGAGATCAATAATCATTTAGAACACACCCATTTCTCCTATTCATCTGATTCATCAAATGTCATCACCGTATTCATCATGATCATCTACTAATCACGTGTACTGATGAGGTGGATTCAGTATTCAGTATTGGTTACGTTTACAAACAGCACACCATCTATCTACAGATCGGTTCAATCAAATCAAATGCTTTGTCCTTGTCATACTAATGTTGCCATGGTAATAATGAGCCCATTCATAACAGTGGGATCATGACAACAAAGAAGCAGAAACAGGCTGCATTTATATATATACACAGAGAGGAGCAGAAGGAAAGGCTTCTAACCTTTGATGAAGTAGTCCCTGTTGGGTCCGATGAGCGTGCTGTAGGGGTACCCATAGTAGGTGAGGGTGTAGGGGTCGCACTGGTACACGTAGTTCTGCTGGGCTGGTTCTGGAGCCGCCACGGCTGCCGTAGCGCCCCCTTTAGACGCCTTCTGGTAGCGCGTGTACTGCTCTTTGTCAACAGGCTTAGCCAGGGTCACCTCGATGCAGGACCCCTCCACCTCCGTCCCGTTCAGGTGGTCCATGGCAACCACCGCATCGTCACGGGATGAGAAGTGGACGAAGGCGTAGTCGCGGATCTTCTTGACACGTTCCACGCAGCCCTGGTTCCACTGGCCAAACACCTAGAACACAGAGACATGTTAATACAGCCCTGGGTTCCACTGGCCAAACACCTAGAACACAGAGACATGTTAATACAGCCCTGGGTTCCACTGGCCAAACACCTAGAACACAGAGACATGTTAATACAGCCCTGGGTTCCACTGGCCAAACACCTAGAACACAGAGACATGTTAATACAGCCCTGGTTCCACTGGCCAAACACCTAGAACACAGAGACATGTTAATACAGCCCTGGGTTCCACTGGCCAAACACCTAGATCACAGAGACATGTTAATACAGCCTGGGTTCCACTGGCCAAACACCTAGAACACAGAGACATGTTAATACAGCCCTGGGTTCCACTGGCCAAACACCTAGAACACAGAGACATGTTAATACAGCCTGGGTTCCACTGGCCAAACACCTAGAACACAGAGACATGTTAATACAGCCCTGGTTCCACTGGCCAAACACCTAGAACACAGAGACATGTTAATACAGCCCTGGGTTCCACTGGCCAAACACCTAGAACACAGAGACATATTAATACAGCCCTGGTTCCACTGGCCAAACACCTAGAACACAGAGACATGTTAATACAGCCTGGGTTCCACTGGCCAAACACCTAGAACACAGAGACATGTTAATACAGCCCTGGGTTCCACTGGCCAAACACCTAGAACACAGAGACATGTTAATACAGCCTGGGTTCCACTGGCCAAACACCTAGAACACAGAGACATGTTAATACAGCCCTGGGTTCCACTGGCCAAACACCTAGAACACAGAGACATGTTAATACAGCCTGGGTTCCACTGGCCAAACACCTAGAACACAGAGACATGTTAATACAATCAATCAATCAACAATCAACAATAAATAAACTAATCAATAAATCAACCAACCAATCAGTCAATCAATCAATCAGTCAATCAATCAATCAGCCAATAAATCAAACAGTCAATCAACCAATAAATCAACCAATCAGTAAATCAACCAATCAATCCAACCTGTCGTAGTGTCTCCTCGCTGGTCTCCATCATCAGGTTCCTGACGTATAGAATCTTCACAGTCTCCATGACGTCCTCGTCCACGTCTATCTCTGGCTCCGCCCAGTCCACGGCGATCTGGTGCCCCCACAGCTGGATCCTGCCGGGCATCAGCTTCCTGCGGGCCATGGCCGCAGCGCGGTGACTCTCGTACTCCACGAAGGCAAAGCCTCGGTTCTTCATCTTGTCTGCTGCGCTGGCGTACACTATAACATCTAGAACGCCCTCCGTCACCTTGGAGACCTCCTCCAGGATCTCCTCTCTCTTCTTGGTTTTGGGGATGCCCCCGATGAAGAGGCGACAGTTGTCCACAGAGCAGCAGACCCCCAGGAGGCGGCCGGGGCGCACCTCGTAGTTGTTGAGCTCCCGCACGGCGCGCTTGGCCTGGTGTTTCTGCGTGTACATGACGAAGGCGTAGCCGCGGTTCTTCCCGTCGAAGTCCATCATCAGACGCATCTCGTAGATCTGACCCACTGACTCGAACACCGGAACCAGCTCGTCCTCATAGACGTCCCGGGGGATCTTACCCACGAAGATCTCACAGCCGCGCGGCGGGGAGGCAGAATCCCAGCCCGGCGGGGGGCCGTATTTCCTCTGGCCGTTCTCCTGCACCATGCTGTACCCCGTACGCTCCATCAGAGACACCAGGGCCGCCTCGTTGGGGGCCCCGGCCACACCCTCGGGCACTGTGATTGGTCCGTTGGGGGAGTGATGGGAGGGGCCTGGGGGGTTGGAACCGGAATTGGCGGGGTTATTACTCATGGCTGAAGAGGAGGAGGCGGGATCTTCGGCTGTCATTCTGACTAAACCATCCAATCAGATGTGGTGCCTGAGAGAGAGAGAGAGAGGAGGGGGGAGAGAGAGAGAGAGAGAAGGGGGAAAAAGAGAAATTCATTATTTTCTATTGGCTAAACGAGGGATCACGTCACATTTGATGGACAGAGAACCAAAAGTTGAGGGAGCGTGCAATTGGCATGCTGACTGCAGGAATGTCCACCAGATCTGTTGCCAGATCATTTAATGTTAATTTCTCTACCATAAGCTGCCTCCAACGTTGTTTTAGAGAATTTGAGAGTACGTCCAACCGGCCTCACAACCGCAGTCCACGTGTAACCATGCCAGCCCAGGACCCCTCCAACCCTGTAACCATGCCAGCCAGACCTCCCCAGTCCACGTGTAACCATGCCAGCCCAGGACCTCCCCAGACCACGTGTAACCACGCCAGCCCAGGACTCCCCAGACCACATGTAACCACGCCAGCCCAGGACCTCCCCAGACCACGTGTAACCATGCCAGCCCAGGACCTCCCCAGACCACGTGTAACCACGCCAACCCAGGACCTCCCCAGACCACGTGTAACCCGCCTGCCCAGGACCTCCCAGACCACGTGTAACCATGCCAGCCCAGGACCCCCCAGACCACGTGTAACCAGCCAGCCCAGGACCTCCCCAAAACCACTTGTAACCATGCCAGCCCCAGGACCTCCCCAGACCCGTGTAACCACTCCACCCAGGACCTCCCCAGACCACGTGTAACCAGCCAGCCCAGGACCTTCCCCAGCCACTTACCCATGCCACCCCAGGACCTCCCCAGACCACGTGTAACCAGCCAGCCCAGGACCCCCCCATACCACTGTAACCACGCCACCCAGACCCTCCACACCGGCTTCTTCACCTGCGAGATCGTCTGAGACCAGCCACCCAGACAGCTGATGAACTGTGGGTTTTGCACAACCGAAAATTTCTCACAAACTGTCAGAAACCGTCCGGGGAAAGCTCATTTTCGTCTCGTCGCCCTCACCGGTCTTGACCTGACCTGCCATTTACCGTCGTAACCAACTTCAGTGGGCAATGCTCCCCTTCGATGGCCACTGTCACGCGGGGAAAGTGTGCTTTCACGGTTTAATCCTGGTTTCAAACTGAACCGGGCAGATGTGTTGGGGCGGTTTGCTGATGTCAACGTTTTTGAAAGAGTGCCCCATGGTGGGGTGGGGTTTGGTATGGGCGATAAGCTACGGACAACAACAAAATTCCATTTTAAATGTCATTTGAAAGCACAAGATAGTGAAGATCCTGAGGGCCCCTTGCTGTGCCCTTCATCCCCGCCATCACTCATGTTCAGAGATACCGTGTGAATTTCCCGAGGCCATTGTGTCCATTCATCCGCCCCATCACTCATGTTTTTAGGTCCTATAATCCTGGCCCCTGTGGCCTATCTACGCATCGTCATGTTCAGAGATACGTGGCGAACCCCGAGGCCCATTGCTCCAAATCATCCGTTGCATACTCATGAAATGAGGCCATGGTCCACCAGATCTGTCACCATTCCTGGAGCTGAAAAAGTCCCAGTTCTCCCTGGCTTATTCTCACCATACTGTCATCCATGAGCCTGTTGGATGCCTGGATGACATCCGCCCTGTTTTCCAGTTTTCCCCCAATACCCGCAACTTCGCCACCATTGAAAGGATGGGACACATTCCACCCAAACACGCTGATCAAAATCTGTGCGAAGAGATATGTCGCGCTGCAAGGCAAATGTGGTCACACCAATCTTTGTTCTTTCCCGCCCCTCCCTTTAATCTCTATGCCCTTCATCAGGCCCCTTTTGAATCTAAAGGTCAGATTTTTGCTTGGTTCAACATGGACGGGTTACCATATACACCGTCCAAGACCGTCCCTAAACCGAAAACACAAATTCAAAAAATTGCCCCCCCCCCCCCCCCCCCCCCCCCCCCCCCCACCCCCCCTAAAAAAAATACAATAAAACATAAATAATAAAAGTGGTTGTCCCACTGGCTATCATAAGGTGAATGCACCAATGTGTAAGTGGCTCTGGATAAGAGCGTCGGCTGATGAAATGATGTAAATGTAAACTTCATCCTTTCATTCCTCCTCTCCTCTCCTCTCCTCTCCTCTCCTCTACCTATCAGCCTCCTACTAGCCCTCTCCTCTCCTCTCCTCTCTTCTCTCCTCTCCTTCTCTCCATCTCGCTTAATCTCTGTTTTATAAACCTCTCCTCATCCTCTCCTCTCCTATCCTCTCTCTCCCTCCTCACCTTCCTCTCCTCCCTACTCCTCTCCTCTGCCTTATATCTCGACCCTCTCCTCTCTCCTCTCCTCTCCTCTACCCTCCTCTCTCTCCCCCTTCCTCTCTCCTCTCCTCTCCTCTCCTCTCCTCTCCTCTATCTCTCTGTTATCTGTCTGTTTTACAGCCCTGTGTTGTTGAGCTGTTTCTCCTTTGACCCCCAGGAGACTAAATGTGGTCATAAAGCTCCGATCAAGGTTCACCGCCTGGGTCACATGCTCCGGGGGTGTGTGTGTGTGTGTGTGTGTGTCTGTTAGCCAACCTGCACCAGTTGACAAAGGATCACAGTCACAGAGAACAGAGAACAGAGAACAATCAGAAATCCTCTTTTCACAGTGTAAACCTCTTACTCTCTGACCAGCACAGCATGGGGGTGTGTGTGTGTGTGTGTGTAAGTGTGTGTGTGTGTGTGTGTGGGTGGCTGGGGGTGTGTGTGTTATGTGTGTGGTGGTGGGTGTGTATGTTTGTGTGTGTGTGTAAGTGTGTGTGTGTGTGTGTGTGTGTGTGTGGGTGGCTGGGGGTGTGTGTGTGTGTGTGTGTGGGGGTGTGTGTGTGTGTGTGTTGGGTGTGTGGGGGTGTGGGTGTGGGTGTGTGTGTGTGTGTGTGTGGGTGTGTGTCAACATAAACCTCTTACTCCCCCCCCCCCCAGAAAACCCCAACTATTTAAATCCTCAAACACTCCTTGGTAATGCAACAACACTCTCAGACACCACTACACTGAGATTACTGCATTTAGGGTGCCTCCACAACAACACCCTATGCCCTATGTAGTTCACTACTTTTGACCAGGGCCCATAGGGAATAGCATTTGGGACTTACATTTAGTACCAACCCACTCTGGTCAGCTATCAAGAAGGCCAAATAAACATGCTTGGGTAGCTGGATGGGATGGAGGGATGGAGGGAGGGAGAGAGGGAGGGAGGGAGGGTTAAAGGGGGGAGGAGAGAGGGAGGGAGGGAGGGAGGGAGGGAGGGTTAAAGGGAGGGAGGGAGGGTTTAAAGGGTGGGAGGGAGGGGGGAGGGTTAAAGGAGGGAGGGAGGGAGGGTTTAAGGGAGGGAGTGCGGGAGTACGAGGGATGAGGCTGGGAGGGACGGGGGCGGGCTTGAGCGGGGGGGAGGCGGGGAGAGAGGGGGGGTTGGGGTGTTAGGCGGAAGCGGGGGGGAGGGCTATTTACAAAGGTATAAACGGTTACGCAGCCACGCAACCATGGTAACTCACTCTCATCTGACCCAATATCCCACATAGACACACACACGCTGGCCAGCAGGGTCAACTCAACCTGACAGAGAGGGCGATGACGTTAGCAGAACAGAAACCCTGTAGTCGTGCTCCTACAGGATAGTATGACAGGTAGCCTATTAGAAGAGGTTAGAGAGGCTGGCCAGAAACCGGAAGGTTGCAGGTTCAAATCCCAAAGTGGGTTGTGATGAAATAATTTGGGTTCAGACCCCATGTCTGTCTGAAACATGTCTCTCTCTCTCACACACACACACAACACACACACACACACACACACACAACACACACACCCACACAACCACACACAACACAACAAACACGCACTTCTCCAGGGTAATCTCTGTCCGTAGGAGGCCAAGCAGATAAAAGCTCACTCCAAAATGGCGCCGTCCCTTGACTTCCTCAAATGGCTGCCGTGCCTCTGACCTTATAGTGGCTGCCGTGCCCTCTGCCTTCATTATGGTGCCGTGCCTTGACCTTCTCAGTGCTGCCGTGCCCTCGACCTTCATCTAGGGCTGCCGTGCCCTCTGACTTCATCTAGTGGCTGCCGTGCCCTCTGACCTTCATCTAGTGGCTGCCGTGCCCTCTGACCTTCATCTAGTGGCTGCCGTGCCCTCTGACCTTCATCTAGTGGCTGCCGTGCCCTCTGACCTTCATCAGTGGCTGCCGTGCCTCGACCTTCATCTAGGGCTGCTGTGCCCTTGACCTTCATTAGTGGCTGCGTGACCTCTGACCTTCATCTAGTGGCTGCCGTGCCTGACTCATCGGGTGCGTCCCTCTGACTCATTGTGGCTGCCGTGCCCTCGACTTCATTAGTGAGTGTGTGGTGACGTGAGTGGTACTAGTGGTGTGTACTGTGAGTGTGTGTACTAGTGGTGGTGTCGTTACAGTGATGTGTGTGTGACTAGTGAGTGGTGGTGACTAGTGAGTGTGACTAGTGGTGTGTGGTACTAGGTGGTGGTGTGGACTAGAGTGGTGTGTACTAGTGAGTGTGTACTAGTGATGTGTACTAGTGAGTGTGTACTAGTGTGTGTGTACTAGTGAGTGGTGTACTAGTGAGTGTTGTACTAGTGAGTGTGTGTGTGTACTAGTGAGTGGTGTGTACTAGTGAGTGTGTACTAGTGAGTGGTACTAGTGAGTGGTACTAGTGAGTGTGGAGGAGGGAGGGCAGGAGGGGAGAGAGGAGCAGGAGAGAGAACTGGGAGAAGAGGAGAGAGATAATGTGGAGGAGAGAGAGAGGAGAGAGAGAGAGAGAGAGACTGTGGAGGAGAGGAGAGGAGAGAGAGATAAACTGTGGAGGAGAGAGAGAGAGAGACTGTGGAGGAGAGGAGAGAGAGAGAGAGAGAGAGAAACTGTGGAGGAGAGGAGAGGAGAGAGAGAAACTGTGGAAGAGAGAGAGAGAGAAACTGTGGAGAGGAGAGGAGAGAGAGAGAGAGAGAGATGTAGAGGAGAGGAGAGGAGAGTGTGGGAGAGGAGAGGAAGCGATGGGTAGTGAGGACTGAGGAGAGAGGGAGTAGAGGAGGAAATAC